TATATAGCCAGTCAATTCATAAATCTTGCCATTTCCACCTTCACAACATTTCTAGCATACTCAGCTCTTTTAGATGATTGCAAGAGCCTCCTAATTGGTTTCTTTGCCTCAATTCTTACCCCCCTCCAGTGGATCCTGTGCACTGCTGCCAAAGTCATTTTCCTTAAACACAGATCTGACCATGTCACTTACCTAATAATCAACTCCATTGGTTTCCTGTTGTGTTCTTCCGGGACACCTGTGATCCTCAGGTTGTCTCTATACGTCCTGTCTTTTAGAGCACTATGTTTTGCTTGCATAGGGAACATATTTTCTTTGAATGTTTTTTACTTTTCTTCATCTACATTATCTTTCACTTCTGTGTATTTGCATTCCCAGTCTGTTATTCCCTCTTTTGTTTCTTTGGTTTGGCTTGCTATTGCAGATTTTAATTTTTCTGTTCTTACTATTTTTACTTTTCAGGATACAAATTCTGCTCTCCTAATTCTCATTTCTCTTTTCAACCACAGCATGTTGTGGTTCTGTGTTCTCACTTTCCACAGGGTCCTCCGTCTCATCAAGTTTTGGATCATTTCCTTTATTGTATTTATTTACAGATGCCTGACTCATTTGCTCGATATGGGGGCCATATTTCCTTCTGTTGTTACTATTTTTCCTCTTTATTTGTCTGTTTATGTTTAAGATCTTTAAGTTTTCTTTCTGAAATCTTCGGTAATTTCAGTCTCCCCCCCATTTACCTTATCTCTCACTTCTGACATCCTTTACTCTCATTGTGGTTTCCTTGAAGGCTGGATCTCAAAGTGTGAGTCTCTTCCCACACTGGACAATTCACAGTTGACCAGCATAGGTCTTTGCCCCAGCTTACTTTTGGGTGGTCAAAACTCAAAACTACCTCAACAAATGCTGTGCTCTTTCTCTCCCAGGGTTGGTGGTGTACGGCACAGGCTTTCTTACTCATCAAGTCCTGGTTGACTTACCCCACTCCCCCTCTTCCTCAGTTCTTTGACTCAGCACCCAGAATTCAGATCTTTGTAGTTCTGGTACTTCTGAGGTTTAGAACTTTCTGGTACTTCAAGGCCTTTGATACTGTCAGTTGTGAGGGTTTGTGAAAAATTATCTCAACATTTGGTTGCCTGAAGAAGTTCATTAATTGTACATCAATTTCATGATGGCATACTTGCCTGAGTTCTTGATAATGGATGATGCTCTCATGTTTTCCCAGTCGCCAATGGAATGAAGCAAGGCTATATGCTTGCTCCCATGCTTGTTAGCATGGTATTTTCAGCATAGTTGTCAGACTCTTTCAACAAAGGCAGCTACCACACTGATGGTATTTAACTTGAAAAGGCTATAAGCCAAAACTGAAGTAAAGGGACAGTTGGTGCATGATTTTTTGTTTGTAGATGATTGTGCACTCAGTGTAGCCTCTGAATCTGAGATGCAACAAAGTGTGACTCAGTTTTCTGCTGCTTGTGCTAATTTTGGTCTAACGCCACCAAGAGAACACAGCTTCTTTACTAGCCAGCACTACACCATCGATATGTAGATAAGTCACACAACAAACAGAGAAATTTTGAATACTGTGGATAAGTTCACTTACCTTGGTTGTATACTTTTCAGGGATGTCCACATAGATGAAGAGGTTCATGCACACATTGCCAGAGGTAGCTCAGTGTTTGTGAGGCTGTTTGAAAGAAAGTGTGAGAGAGAAGAGGTATTAGACTGTTTCCCAAACTGAAGGTCTACAGGGCGTTGTGCTGACCTCATTGTTGCATGACTGGGAAACTTGGATAGTATAGCAGTGCCATGCCAGGAAACAGAAATGCCTGCATTTGAATTGTCTTAGGAAGGTTCTGAAGATCATGTGGCAAGATAAAGTACTGGACACTGAGGTCTTTTCTCAAGCTAAACTGCCAAGCATTCAAACTGTACTGCAGAAAGCATAACTCCAATAGACTGACACATTGTTTGAATGCCAAAGTACCTTTGCCTAAAAGACTATTTTACAGAGAACACACACAAGGCAAGCGCTCACATGGTGGTCAAAAGTGATAAAAGGACATTCTCAAGGTCTCTCTGAAGACTTTTGGAATTGATTATGTGACATAGGAGATGCTGGCAAAGGATTGCCCAGCATGGTGTGCTTGTATCAAAGAAGGAGTTCTATATCAGATTGCTCACTGTCTTAGGGAGGGAGGGGGAGAAAAATTTAAAACTCAGAAGCTTATGGAAGTGATTGTTGATAAATTAAAATAAATTAATAAAAAAAGAAGGCATTGTGCTCTATGAGCAAAGCAGAATTTCAGTAACTCAAAAAAAATGTGAGATGCACAAATATAGAGACTTCTCCATTCCACATATTTCTTTTGACTATTTGTGCCCAACCTGTGGTAGACGTTCTGAGTTCTGAGCTCATCAGCCACAGTCAGAGTCACTGTATCCTGACCCCAACATAGTGATGTCTTTTGGTCTTCTTTCAAGAATGAAAGACAATAACCAACCACACACTTTCTGGGTTGCAGGCCCCAGCAGATTCTTACTCCAGAAAGGCTATAGCCCAAACTTCCAGTCTGGAGCTAGGGTCCTGAGGGAGGGGAAACCAGGGTGTATGGGTGGGTTTTGTTGGAATCCTGTGTTGTATCCTCTAATCTGCTAGTAGCATGGAAGGTGGAGGAGGGGTGCTGAACTCAGGGTCAATATGTGTCAGTTCGTGGGTTTTGATTTGTTTCTGACCTTCTTTTGGATTTTGGGTGCCCTCGACCCTAGAGATAGCTGAAATTACTTTATTTTGGACGTGTAATTTCTGTTTTGGACTTGCCTGAGTAGTTGTGGGGATCAGAAAAGATGTCTAGTCTTCCATCTTGTTGCTCATATGACCCATAAAATCCATTAGTTTCCTATTGCTTTAGGATCCCATCAAAATTCCTATTTACCCAGTGGCATTCCTCCCTGTGTTTGCTGCCTTCTTCATTAGAATGTAAACTTGCCTGTACTTGGGATATCTGTTTGTCACAGTGGGTAGAGTGTTGGGAGTCAAGAAGACTTGAGTGTAATTGCTTCCTCGGACTAGATGTGTGACCCTGAGCAAATCACTTAATCTCTCAGAGCCTCACTTTTCTGATCCATAGAATTATTTTAAATTAATAAAGGCTTTGTTAAGTGGTTACTTAGTGCCAGACACTGTGCCAGACTGTGAAGCACAGTCAATACAAATACTATCATATAGAAAGACAGTTCCTGACCTGAAGTTGCTTACATTTCAATGGGGGAAGACCACACGTGAAAGGTAGCTAAAGGAGACGAAACCTGCATGGAGGGGTGAGGGGGGTAAGATAGAAAAGTCAATGGAGAGTCAGAAGTTGAGTGGATTAGAGGTGAGCATGGCTACTTCCTCCAAAGGCAGTTCTGAGCAGCAACTCCCTAATCAGAAGAGGACCCTGCAGGCAGAGAGTTGCTGCCAGCACAACTAGAGGATTTTGGGGGGAATGGAAAAGTAGTCCAGAGAGTCAGGAATCACGGGGATGATAATAGCACCTATCTCCCAAGGTTTTTGTGAGAATCAAATGAGGTAATCTAGGAGTGCTTTGCAAACCTTCAAGTGCTATATAAATGCTAGCTATTATTACCAAATCCAGTTTGTAGCACAGTGTCTGATCCATAGTAAGTACTTAATATATATGGATTTAAGTAAGTTTCTGAAAGCACAGGTCAGTCATGCCCTCCATTCTTTGTTTGGCATTCAAAACCTAACCCTCTACTACCTTTCCAGTCTCCTTATACCTTAACTCCCCAATGCATTTTCTTCAATCCTGTGACACTGGCCCCTTGGCTATTCGAGCTTTTGGCTCTGGGCATTTTCTCAGGCTTTCCCCCTCCTCTGCTCTGTCTACTGGTTTCACTGGCTTCCTTTAAGGCCCTTTTAAAACCCTGCCTTCTGCATGAAGCCTTTCCCAAAGCTTTTAAATTCTAGTTCCTTTCCTTTTAAAAATTATATCCTATTTATCCTGTATATAGCTTGCTTTATATATATTTATTTACATATTGTTTCTCTATTAGATTGCAAACTCCTTAAGGACAGGGGTTGTTTTTAACCTTTCCTAGAATTCCTAGCACTTAACTTAGTGCCTGGCACATCGCACACACTAAGTAAGTGCTTAGTGACTGCTTGACTTATTGAATTGACTGTACAATTAATCAGAATATCTTTTCCTTCCACCCAGTGAACTAATTAGTGACAATGCATTATTACATCTGGTCATTGAGACTCAACTGTTCTTTTATTGGTTGTTACTGAGTGGTCTGAGGTTGCTTCAGTGCATCATCTTTCTTATTTTTATTTTTTTCTATTTCTGGGTTCAGATGGGAGTGCGTGGGGTGTGGGCCTAGATCCTTTGATCTCATCTGTCTGGGAAAATCTAGGGTGGAAACTCACTCCCTTATGAACCTAGTTTCTCTGGCTTTGGGAAGGATCCTCTGTTCACTGTGCCATGATGCTTCTCACTTTTTAAGAAAAAGAGCCTTCCTTCCTTCAGAGAGCCTTCCTTCCTGCCTTCCTTCCTCCCTTCCTCCCTTCCTCCCTGCCTCCCTCCCTCCCATCCTTCCTCCCTTCTGTCATTCCATCCCTCCTTCTGTTAGTATACAGATGGCTGGTTATATATCGTTATCTGTATACTTATTTTTAAAACTCTTCTCCTTCTTAACCCCACCTCAACCCGGATATAAGCCCTTTAAGGGCAAGGGCCTGTGGTTTATTCTATCTTTGTATCCCTGGAACCCAACACTAAAATACTATGGATATAGTAGGCAAGCTGAGTTGGATTGAATTTGTGCTTAACCTTTGAAGACTTCTTTCTCAGGTGTAATGGAATTGTCACAAGAAAGTACTTAAAATTTTTGTGTTAACATTTACTGTTAATTTATATATAGAATGTTGAATGTTGTTCATGATTTACTAATAAAGAGAAATTGATTTTCGTTTTGGAAATTTGTTCTTTTGCTAGTGTATCCTAGAATTTCCTGGAAAACTGATGTTCTGTTGGCCTGAAGGATTTACTTTTCTTCTAAAAGTCAGCAGTTTACTCCCTCTTCTCTGGTAAGATTTAACTCTTTATTTTAAACTTATTTCATGTCTGATATTTATTATTCGGTATTTAAGATGCTGTGTAGAGCATTTCCCTGATTCATTCTTATAAGTTAACTGACTTTCCAAAATTCACGTAGGTAATCAATAGCAGAGGCAGGGTTCACACATACTTATCATAATATGAATACTGTGCAAACATTAATAATGTTAATTTTTATGCTCTTAACTATGTTTTCTGTTTAGTTTTCATTTGTCATCTTTGGGAACCTTGATTTGTATTTATGGCTCTGCAGACACTTTCTATAATAGGAAGAACATTAAGGTGGAGGCCATGGGTGCAGGTCCTCACCCCAGCTCTGCAGTCAGATAGCGGTATATCCCCGGAGCAGTCCCCCAACCTAGAATGAGCTTCTTCATTTGGACAGGGCTTTGCCTAGGAAGTTGAAGTAGACCACCTTGAAGGACTTTTCCACCTCTAAATTTTTTTGATTCACTGGTAATTTCTAGTCACAGAATTTAAGAGATTCATATCATAAGATGTGAAGCTGGGTTTCAATAGAGTGAGAGGAATGAGGTAACCAGGTATTACTTTTATCAGCAGTAGAATGGGTGAGAGTTTGGGAGGGAAATTCCTTTTTTTTAATCCTGTTACGTGCTATCCTTGTTATTCAGTATTAGCAAACAGAATATTATTTGAATATCTATGAAAAAATCAAGTATGGAAAATTCAAATAATTATGTAAATTTAAATTTTCTTACAATGAACATAAGAATTTGAATATTTATAGATTATTTTTCCGGAAGATGATTCTTTTATAAATTGATTGTCTGTTTTGAGGAGTGGGCAGGCCTGTTGACTTTTCTAAGAAGTTCTGTGCTGTACTCCTGTTATATGTTGGTGACTTTGGTAATTGTAATGGAACTGTGAATTTCTATTAGTTTCCAGATGGAACTTTAATCTGGCTTCTGATTGAGCCTAGTGTCCTTGTAGAGTCTCTAAGCATCTGTTTTGGAAGTACATTTGACATTATTCAAAATTTGTACCAAATTAAACCACCCTTGGGCTATAATTCAATTTTTCTTTATTGAGAAATGTATTGTCAACAGTTTATGCAACAAAACAGTACTATATTCAATCAATTATTTATATGTTTATTAACTGGTCTCTTAGAGTTTTGATTGAATTACAAATAGATTTAAGAAAACTGGTAATTTGAAGATTGCAGTTTATATATAAAATGAGAATATCAAAGAAACAGATCATTTTTTAATATTTTGATTTTTATAAACTTAATAAAATCTATGGTTTATTATTTTTTATCCAGACTTTTAATTCTGCCTCTTGGATTTTTACTAGTAATACAGATTTTTGAAAATTATTCTTTGTTTCATGGACCATAGAAATAAATTATATAAAAGAACAACATACTAACCTAAATTTGTTAAATTTCCATTGGCTTCTTAAAAGTCAAATAACCTGCTTTTGAAAGAATTGCTTTTTGTCCTCAGGACTGGAAATTTTCCCTGGCTTAGGGAAACATTAGGGAAAGATAGGTAAAATGTTTGGATAAATGTTAACATTTTTCACAGAGGTTGTGAGATAACTAGTACTCTGCCCTTATATGCCTGTGTCCAAATAGGGCAAGATAGAGATTAGAAGAGCAAGATGACTTCGTTTCTGTCCACCCAAAGAGCCTCAGCAGATCACTTACACAAATGTTCACAGAAGGGCCTTTGTATGTAAACCTTGAGTTCCATGGTTAGGACATACCTTGATAAGTTATCTGTTTTGCTTTCAGATTAGGTTTAGCTTCTCTTCAAATCCTGATATGCTTATGTATGTTAGGGTTTGTTATGCCTTTATCTGAAAAATCGTATTTATATAATAGTGTTTTTTCCATCCTTCTCCTTCTTCTCCCTCTGCTTTCTTTGTCTCACCTTTTATTGGCATTCCTGCAAAGTCTTCTCTTGGCAATTTTCTCATTTCACTGACTGTATTCTTTTTTTTTCTTTTTTTGGTGAGGCAGTCGGGGTTAAGTGACTTGCCCAGGGTCACACAGCTAGGAAGCGTCAAGTGTCTGAGGACGGATTTGAACTCGGGTGTTCCTGACTCCAAGGCTGGAACTCTGTTTACTGTGCCACCTAGCTGCCCTGACTGGCTGTATTCTTAATGAAATTAGTGAAGATCTGCTTCTGTTTTATTTTACTTATGTTTGTAGGAATTGCAAGGATCTAACCTGGTAGTGTATTAAAAGCCTGAGGAATGGAGAGAACAAAACCTAGCACCCTGTTTAGCCTCCAGAAAACCCCAAGAGAACAAATCCCCCCTCCAGAATGTGGGGATACCGACGAGTCAGATTGGTCAAGGCTGAAAAGAGAACACAAAACCATCTTCTGATTCTGAGAGAAGAGGCAGGTTTTACAAGAAAAAAAAGTCAGTAGAAGAAAGAGACAGAGTGGCTCTTCTGGTTCTGAAGGCCAGTAACAGGGATGGAATGAGTGTTGGAATGGTGTACAGTGAGGGAAGTACGTGGAGAGAGAGTTCTGGTTTGTTCTAGATGTTGTTTCTACTTTGGATTTTATTTAATGGTAACTTTTTATTCCATCACATCTTCTGTTGCCTCCCTATCATCCTCACCACCTTACAAGTCTGTAGTCTCACCCTTTCTACTGGCTACTTACAAACTTCTTACAAACATGCCTGCGTCTTCCTTGTCCTGAAAATAGCTCCTCCCTTGCTCTGTCCCTGCTCTGTCTCTTCTCCCATTTGTGACTAAGCTCCTGGAGAAGGCCATCCACAATCTGTGCCTCTATTTCCTTTTCTCTAACTCTCTTTTTAGCTCGTATCTTTCTGGCTTCTGACTTTATCGTTCAAGTGAAACAAATGTTCAGAGTTATCAATGACCTCTACAGTTTCCAAATCAAATGGCTTTATATCAGTCCTCATTCTTCTTAACCCTTTTCTCATTATATCTCCCGCCCCCCCCCCTCTCCCTTATATTGTTCTCTCCAGGTTTTCCTTATTCTTTCTCCATTCACCCTTGTTGATTCTTCACCCAGGTCACTGCTACTAACTGTGAATATCCCCCAAGGCTCTGTCTTGACTTGGTGATCTTATCAGTTCCCAAAGAGTCAATTCTCAATCATCTTTGTGCAGATGATATGTCTAGCCCTAACCTCTCTCCTGACCTCAAGTCTTGCATCTCCAGATGCTTATTAGACATTTTGAACTGCACGTTCCCTAGATATAGTAAGTTCAAAATTGAACCCATTATCTTTCATCCTAAACCCTTCCATCTTATGAACTTCCCTATTTCTGCTCAGGGCACCACCATTTTCATAGTAACTCAGGTTCACAAGCTAGGGTCATCCTTGACTCTTCATTCTTGTCCCACATATCTGATCAATTGCTAAATTCTGCCAATCCTACCTTTTTAATATCTTTGATAACAATTTTTCTCGGACACTATTGCCTCCTTGGTCCTACACCTACATTGCTGCGCAAGCCTCTGGGTTACTCTCCGTTCCTAATGTCTTTCCTTGGTCCCTCACATTCTCCACTCATCTTCCTAAAGTGCAGGTCTGGCCTGTACTTTCACTACCTTTTCATTATCACCCTCACTCCACCCCACCTGTCCCAGCCTTTCATTCAGTCAAGTCCAGAATCTTCCTATAACCTCCAGGATCAAATATAAAATCTTCTGTTTAGTTTTTTAAAGCCCTTATAAGCTGGCCCCCTCCTGCCTTTTCTGTCTTTTTATGCTTTCTTCCATGTATTCTCTGATCCAGGAACACTGGTCTACACCAGTCTAAACAATGCATTTTCACTGGCTGTCATTCACTATATGGGGATGTTCTTCCTCTTCATCTCCTGGCTCTCCTGGTTAGTGCCTTTCCTCTAAAATTATTTCCAGTCTTCTCCATATTTTGATTGTATATGTAGTTGATTACATGTTGTCTTCCCCATTAGATTGTGAGATCCTTGAGAGTAAGAACTGTTTTTTGCTTTTCTTTGGGTGCTCAGTGATTAGCATTGTGCCTTAACAAAATATTTGTTGACCTGACTTGACTTATTCAAATATTATCTATTATCAAAACAAAACATTTGTTTTTCTAACAGCTTGGTTGTGTGTGTTGTGTTTTAGATTATATTTATATTGTCATATAGATTTGGCCTTTTTGATACCTGATTGTGACCAAAAACAATTTCAGAGCATCGGTTCCCAAAGTGGACCCCATATAGCCCCCCGGGGGGCACTGGAATGATGGGGGAGTGAGGGGGTTTAGTACTGGAAACCCAGAATTTTTTTCAAATGGGTGAAACAGATCTAGCAGGCCAAGTAAGAGTATTAGGAATAAAATATTAATATAGTATAAATCTATATGGATGGTTTTTGATTTGAAGAACAAATATAATGCCTATCAAAGTGACAGCTACTTTTAAAGAAGTTGTATTTGTATTTCAAACAGCTTTTCATTTTATCTGAAATAAAGGTAGAATAATCCTCTTTTAATTATTACAATCACCAGTTCAATAAATAAGGTTATTTTCATTGCCTGGTGAAACTGATGAGGATGGGATCTAGACCCAAAAAAGGAAAAAGCCTGGATTTTCCCACATGGCCAAATCTCTGGTATTCCTCTGAGGCTATAATCCCATCAACTGGCCTTTCATTGTGGCTGCACCCAGTCTCCCAGTCCGGTTCCCCTTAACCTAGCCAGGCCCTGCATTGTCTTACCTCCCTATGGCCCAGGCCACTTCCCACCCTTAATCCTATCGAGGCTCCATTCTCCCTAGGCCAAGCAGTCCAGGTCCTTGGAGTTCTATTACCTCATAGACTACTTGACCACTCCTAGATCTCTCCCATAGTCTTTCTATATGTAAGGTCTATCTTCTCTCCATTAAGGTGGTTAGATTCTTAAAATCTAGCCACTGCTCAGATTCTTATAATCTAGCCATGGGCTCAAATTCTTAAAATCTAGCCAGTAGCTCACTAACATTCAGACTC